CAGAAAGCCACTGTGTGTGTGTGTGTGTGTGTGTGTGTGTGTGTGTGTGTGTGTGTGTGTGTGTGTGTGTTGTTGTTGCTGTTTTATCACAGCTGGCTGATCCTTGGTGGGGGTGTCTTAGGAGTTTCAAGTCATGTCCCGGTGGTTACACTGGATTTAAAATTTAAGACATTTCTACCTTAAGACTCACTGGAGCCCTAACCCATTTGGCTCAGTGCAGTGGTCGGCAAACACATTAGTCAACAGAGCCAAATAGCAACAGTACAACGATTGAAATTTCTTTTGAGAGCTACATTTTTTAAACTTAAACTATACAGGTAGGCACATTGTTATTAACTTAATTAGGCTACTCTTAAGCTGGCCTTTGCTAAAAACTCAAGGGGCCAAAGACCCGCATGTGGCTCGCGAGCCACAGTTTGCCAACCACTGGGTGGGTAGAGCGTCGGCCTGCAGACTGAAAGGTCCCGGGTTTGATTCCGGTCAAGGGCATGTATCTTGGTTGCGGGCACATCCCCAGTAGGGGGTGTGCAGGAGGCAGCTGGTCGATGTTTCTCTCTCATCGATGTTTCTAGCTCTCTATGCCTCTCCCTTCCTCTCTGTAAAAAAATCAATAAAATATATATATTTTTTAAAAGACTCACTGGATTGTTGCCCTGAGGTTTAGGGCCTGGCATTAGAAGCCCTAAAGGAGGTAGCGGAGGAGGGAGTGCAGGCTTCAGGGACTTCTCCGTCTGTTGTAGAGCGCGGATTCCTCAGGCTGGGCCACTGTCCTGGCGGTGACCTGGCTGCATGACAAGCATAAGGACAAGAAAGGCGAGTGGGAACTTCTGGAAAGGAAAGCTGTGGCCTGGATTCACAGCCACGCAGGTAGGAGCACAATCCCAGGACCTCATCTCCTTCCCCTCTTAGGAGGCTCCGCATCTTCCCAGACACTGAGCCCCCAGACCTTGGCGGGTCTCCCAGCTGATTCTTCCTGGGGCAGGAGGAGAGCACAGTCTTAAAGTGGGGGAGGGGGGGGGAGGGGGGGGTGTGTAACGAGGAAAAGGGGCATCCAGTGGCATTTATTCTTCTCGCTATTGTCCATACCGTGCTGAGCATGAGTTTTTTCTTGTTTGAGTGTTTAGTATCTCCTGCTGCTGAATACCTCTGGAGCCAGAGGAAAGGAAAGGGGATCTAGGCCATGTGACCAAAAGTCAGGGGTGTTTAAATACAGATACAAGCAGGACTCGGAGGAGAGGATCTGGGAGGTTCAGGGGAGACTGGGAGAAAGGCATTTCCTGTCACTGCTGTCCCTCGGCCCTCACTTTGGTTTTCTCCTCACAGGCTCCGCCAGGGATGGGCTGGTGAAAGCTGCCGTGGACTTTCTGAAGTCATCGGTGGATCCTGCCGTCTTCGCCCCCTGAGGATCCCGACCAGAAGCACATTCTTCCTGCTCCTGGACCCTCCTGTCCCCTCTGCCTTCCCAAACGCGATCTGTCTTGTATACCTCTCCTGTCGGTTTCCTGTGATACGTTCCCGCCCCACCTCCCCTCCATGTTCCAGGTTCCCTCTGGATATGACATCCTTTCCCCAGCATGTGCCCTCAGCCAGGCATCATGGTCCCACACCTGCTCTTTTTCTGGAAGGAGATCAGAGGCAGTCAAGTCCCTCCCTGGCTGTTCAGAGCAACAACAGGAGGAAGAAGTGGTGTGGACTCCAGGCTAATGGTTGCCAGGTTGATGTCAGGGACCTTTCAGTCCCAAGCGCTATCCTAGTGGAAGGGACCCTATTGGATGTGTTGTTCCCTAACATACTGCTGTATCAATATTAAAATGACACCTTGTTGTATCTGATACTGTATAGATTTATTTGTTGAATCTGCGTGGGCTTTCTCATCCCTTGTTTTCCCTCCCAACTTATATTTAATTGTTGCCCATTCAAGTTGAAGTTCGCCTTTGCATGAGGCAGGCTGGTATCCAAGTCTACCGTATTGATGTCATGACAAAAGAGAGTTTCCTAAGGGCCATGAAATGTGCAGAACTACCCTCTGCACACAAAAGATGGCCCTCGGCATTTATTATTCAGAGCGTGTATTCATTACGTTTATTGTTTACCTCCCCTTTGCTCACCCTTCAGCTTCCAGGCTGGGATTTGGGGATTTCTAAAGCAAAACACAACACGAACAAAAAAATTGTAATCTTGATCTGTCTTCTTTATAATGCAGAGTCCTCTCATTTTTCCATTCGAGTTCTCATGCTTTGAAACCTACCAACCTGGCCGAAACCGGTTTGGCTCAATGGATAGAGCGTCAGCTTGGGGACTGAAAGGTCCCGGGTTCGATTCCGGTCAAGGGCATGTACCTTGGTTGCGGGCACATCCCCAGTGGGGGGTGTGCAAGAGGCAGCTGATCGATGACTCCCTCTCATCGATGTTTCTAACTTTCTATCTCTCTCCCTTCCTCTCTGTACAAAATCAATAAAATATATTAAAAAACAAAACAAAACAAAAAATACCTACCAACCTGTACATGTCTCCAATCGAAACAAGTGTCAGTCTTCGTAATCAACAGACATGTTTATGGAAGCCCACCTTCAGGGCGTGGCACTCCGTGTTCTGTTCCATTGGTCTATATGCCTGTTCTTGTGCCAGTACCTGGCTGTTTTGATTATAATGACTTGATAGTATAGTTTGATATCTGATATTATGATCCCTCCAACTTTGTTCTTCTTTTTCATGATGGCTGAAACTACTTGGGCTCTTCTTTGGTTCTATATCTATTTTTTGGAGTATTCGTTCTAGATCTGTAAAATATGCCATCGGTATTTTAATAGGGATTGCATTGAATCTGTAGATTGTGTTGGGTACTTTTGGATATTTTAATCATGTTTATTTTCCCAACCCATGAACAGAGTATGTCTTTCCATTTGTTTGTATCTTCCATTTATTGTTCCAATATCCTATAGTTTTCTAAGGACAGGTCTTTTATCTCCTTGGTTAAGTTTATTCCTAGGTATTATTTTGTTGTTGTTGCTATGGTAAATGGGATTTTTTTTTTTTTTTAGTTTATCTTTCTTAGAATTCATTATTAGTGTATATAAATGCTATCAATTTCTAGATGTTATTTTTGTATCCTGTTACTTTGCCAAATTCACAAGTCTACTAGGTCTTTTGTGGAGTCTTGAGGGTTTTACTGTACCCCTTACAATTTGGATGATTTGATTTGATTTTTTAGGCTAATGCTGGACACATAAAAAGAGCTTGGGCATCTTCCTTCCTGTTGAAATTTTTGGAGTACGTTTTAGTTCTGTGAAATATGCCATTGGTATTTTAATATGGACTGCATTGAATCTATAGATTGCTTTGTGTACTATGGACATTTTGGTTGGTGTTAGTTCTTCTTTGAATGTTTGCTAAAACTCCCCTGTGGAGCCATAAGGTCCAGGATTTTTGCTTATTATTATTATATTTTTATTATAAATTTTTATTATAAATTTTTATTATTATTACTGGTTCAAATTCATTAGTTTTTATTGGTCTATTCAGGTTTTTTGATTCTTATTGAGTTTTGGAATATAGGATGTTTCTATGAATTTGTCCATATTGTGCAGGTTGTTCAGTTTGTTGGTACATAGCTGTTCATAGCATTTTCTTATAATTCTTTGTATTTCTGTTGTTACTTCATCTCATTTGTTTCTGATTTTATTAATTTAGGTCCTCTTCGTTTCTTGATGAGTCTGGCTAGTGGTTCATCACTCTTATTTATCTTTAAAAGACCAGCTCTTGGTTTAATTTATCTTGTGTATTGTTCTTTTATATTCCATATCATTTATTTCCGTTCTCATCTTTGTTATTTACTTCCTTCTACTTATTCTTGTATTTTCTTGTTGTTCTTGTTCTAATTCTTTTAGTTGTAGGGTTAGATAGTATATTAGTGATTGTTTTTGTTTCTAGAGGTAGGCCTGTAATGCTATGGACTTCCCTCTCAGGACTGCTTTCACTGTGTCCCACAGAGTTTGAGTTGTGTGTTCATTTTCAGTTGTTTCCAGGAAGTTTTCACTTTTTTTTCCTTGATCTCATTGATTAATAAATAACATACTATTTCGCTTCAGTGTATCAGAATATTTTGTTTTTATTGTAGTATTTCTAGTTTCATGCCATGGTGATCTGAGAAGATACTTGGTATTGTTTCAATCTTCTTTAATTTGTAGAAACTTACTTTGTGCCCTATCATGTGGTCTATCCTCAAGAATGTCCCATGTGCACTTGAGAAAACTGTATATTCTGCAGTCTTTGGGGTGAAATGTTCTGTAAATGTTGATTAACTCTGTCTGATCTGGTTTCTCATTTGAGGTCGCTGTTTCCTTATTCATTTTTTTTTTTTAACTTTAAACAAATTTTTATTACACAAAAGTCACATAATTGGATATTTCCCTACTTTGTACACAATTATTCTTACTCTCCACAGAAAGGCTGCTTCTTCACTTCTCATTGGGTGATGGCAAGCACTAAAATCCTGATTGTAACAGAATAGTAGTAAACATGCCTCAGTGATTTACGTTGAAAGCAGTACATTGGTACATGGCTCTTGCACTTATCAGGAATGTACAAATGTATTTTTATTCAAAAATACAAGATAAATTATCTGTAGGCATGGACAATGACAGCAGTAAACCATTGTGTGTTGTCAATTGAAACCAGTAACTGATGGTTAGTGATTTTCTTGAACATCAGCCAGCCTTTTCTTCAGTCATTTCCTTCAACTGACTTATCTGAAGTTATAAATGAGGAGATGCCCTGAGATTCCTCTCAGTTCTCAGTAAGACGGTAAAGCACTATTCCAGGGCTAGAACATGCCTCCCATCCCTCCTCCCATTCCACCCATCCCACCCATCCCAGGGTCCTTCTCCTCTTTGGGAATTTCTGTGACCACAACTTCTGCTGTTGTTAACAGAGAGGCCACGCCAGCAGCATCCAGTAAAGCAGTTCTTACAACCTTAGTTGGATCAATGATTCCTTTTTCCACCATATTCACAAATTCTCCAAGCATGGCATCATAACCAAGTTCTGAGGAACTTTGCAAAATTTTCTCAACTATCAGTGATCCCTCAACACCTGCATTTTTAGCAATGGTCATTGCAGGAATTTTTAGTGCTTTCTTAATAATTTCTATTCCAATTTTTTTATCTTCATTAGTTGGAGTTATTGAGTCCGAGGCTGGATGCACCGAAGCAGGGCACAGCCCCCTCCCAGGACAATGCCTTCCTCCACAGCAGTGCGGGTGGCATTGAGGGCATCTGTGACTCTGTCTTTCTTCTCATTCACTTCAACATCACTTGTCCCACCAACCTTCAACACAGCTACCCCATCTGAGAGTTTGGCCAGGCGTTCATTCAGTTTTTCCTTTTCATATTCACTAGTTGTGCTATCTAACTGCTCGATGATTTCTTGAATACGTTTTTCAATCTGAGCCTTGTCACCTTTTCCTTTCAAGAGCATGGCATCATCTTTGGTCACAATGACCTCTCCAACTTTTCCTAGGTCATGAGGCTGAACGTCTTCTAGGTTGAGAGTCAATCCTTCTTCTCCAAACACGGCACCACCAGTAGCAATAGCCATGTCTTTAAGCTGGTTCTTCTTTAAGCTGGTTTTACCCAAAACCTGGAGCTTTGACTGCTACAACCTGAAGACCAACTTTTAGCCTATTCAAAACAAGTGTACTGAGAGCTTCTTCATCAACATCTTCAGCAATTATGATCAGTGGCTTGCGGTGAGCATTGGCAATTTCAAGAGCAGGTACGATGGACTGAACACTAGAAATTTTCTTTTCACTCAAGAGAACATATGCATCTTGGAATTCACATTTCTGACCTTTTGCTGTATTAATAAAATATGGAGCCGAAACCGGTTTGGCTCAGTGGATAGAGCGTCAGCCTGCGGACTCAAGGGTCCTGGGTTCGATTCCGGTAAAGGGCATGTACCTTGGTCGCGGGCACATCCCCAGTAGGGGGTGTGCAAGAGGCAACTGATCGATGATTCTCTCTCATCGATGTTTCTAACTCTCTATCCCTCTCTCTTCCTCTCTGTAAAAAATCAATAAAATATATATTTTTTAAAAAAGTATGGAGAAATATAACCTCGATCAAACTTCATGCCTTCAATAATTTCTAATTCATCATTCAGTGTTTTTCCATCCTTTACACTGTAAAGTTTACAGTGATGACTCCTTTCCTTCCAACCTTTTTCATTGCATCAGAAATTATGTTGCCAATTTCTTGGTCTCCATTTGAAGAAATTGTAGCAACCTGAGCTATTTCTCCAGGAGTTGTCACAGGTTTAGACTGCTTCTTAAGTTCAGAAATTACAGCATCAACTGCTAACTCACACCTCTCCTGATTTCCACCGGGTTAGCACCTTTACTGATCTTCTCAAAGCCTTCCTTGGCGATGGAGCGTGCCAGCACAGTAGCAGTGGTGCCATCCCCAGCCTCTTCGTTTGTATTATTGGCAACATCTTGAACAAGTCTGGTGCCAATGTTTTTATATTCATCTTTTAAGTCAATGGATTTTGCCATGGTCACACCATCTTTTGTTACTTTGGGACTTCCCCAGCTCTGTTCAATAATCACTGTTCTTCCCTTTGGCCCCATAGTAACGGCGACAGCTAAAAGGCGTTGGCTAAAAGGTCTACACCTTGCAGCATTAAGGCTCGAGCCTCTGCACGAAATTTTACATCTTTGGCATAAGCCCGAGTGAGGTGAGGAGCCAGTGCCCTGGACACGGGCCTCCATGTGGCGAAGAACTGTGTGTAATCGAAGCATTTTCTGCAGGGCAGCGGCAGGCCATGCAGGCGGCAAGGTGGGCCGTCAGCGGCGAGTGAGGGCTCCTTATTCATTTTTTATCTGGAAAATCTATATACAGTGATGTCAGTGGAGTGTTCACATCCCCTACTGTGACTATCTTGCTGTTGATCTCTCAAAGTTCTCCAAGAGATATATTATATATTTATGTGCTCCTATATTGGGTGCATATATGTTTAGCAGGGTTATATTCTCTTGTTGGATCATACCCTTTGGTATAATGTAGTGGCCTTTGTATCTTTTATGGCTTTTGTTTTGAAGCCTATTTTATCATATATATATATATATATATATATATATATATATGTGTGTGTGTGTGTGTGTGTGTGTGTGTGTGTATATATATATATATATATATATATATATATAACTATCTCTGCTGTCTTTTGGTTTCCTTTTGCATGGAAATTTCTTTTCAATCCCTTCCTTTTCATCCTATGTATCTTTTGTTCTGAGTTGGGTCTCTTGTAGACTATATATATATATATATATATATATATATATATATATATATAATATTTTCTTATCCATTCAGCTACTCTGTGTATTTTGATTGGAGCATTTCATTCATTTATACATTTAAGGTTATTACTGACAGCTACTCATTTATTGTCATTTTTGTTCTTTATACCTGTGTTCCTCTCTTTCTCTCTATTCTTCTCACAACAGTCATTTTAGCATTTCTTGCAGAGCTAGTTTGGTGGTAATAAACTCCTTTAGCCTTTTTTTTTTTTTTTTTTTTTTTTTTAATCTGGGAAAGTCTTTATTTGGGGCTCTCTAAATATATCCCCATTTTAGCTGCCCCTCTGTATTTGTTTCTGTTTATTAGATAGATCTTCTATGTCTTCTGTTCTAGGTAGAATGGCCTTGTGTAGTAGATTTTCTATGAAATTCAGTGGTACAGTCTTTTTTATTATCTGAACTGGGTGCTTCAGAAATGTCCCTTGTGTGGCTTATTTGAGTACTCTTGTTGTTAGTAAGTCTTGATGGCTGCTGACTTATCCACGGGTGGGTTTGTCCCTCAGGCTAGCTGACTGTGGAGAGATATAGATATTTCCCACTTGAGGGCACCCTTTGAGGTGATCTCATTACTATTATCTTATAACTAGATGATGAATTAGTTTCACAAACTAATTGCTCCCTCAGAGCCATCGGTGGGTCCAAAGTAGGGCTTAAGGGGGTTTGAAAAAACACACACACACACACACAAAAACAAGGAAGCAATCCAGGGAGAGTGAGCCTAGGCAAGTCTTGATCGGTGCAAACCCTATGAGACTCGATTCTTTATAAGTAGGAGACCTGACACGCCTTTAGCTGGAGCACTCTGTGCTCTGCCAAGAAGCAGTAACTGCCAGCTCTTTATAACCGCACTTTGGAAACTTAATTGTGCTCTCAGGTAGACTGTGAGAGTGTCCACACTGCTGTTCTTATATGACTACTAGAGGCCCGGTGCAATAATTTGTGTAAGGTGGGGTCCCTTGGCCTGGCTGGCAATTGGAGTCCATATGGGGAGGGGCCGGCAGGGGGAAAAGACGGAGGAAGGTTGGCCCCAGCAGCAAGCTAACCAACAGCTGATTCCATGAGTAATTGGGCTCCCTCCTCCCTCCTATCTGGGTCTGGGGTGTGCATAAAACAGATTTAGGGATGTCAGGGCCCCAGCAGTAAGGTCTGGATCAGTGCACATCATAGCTACAGCTGATGGGCCAGTCATTCTAATCATTCCGATCGTTTGGTCCTAATAGTTGCTTAGGTTTTTATATATATAGGTGAGCTCCAGCTCCACACACAAAGTCCTTCCTAATCCTGCCAACTTCTTTTTCCTAAAAAGGCCTTCTTATAGAATCATCCAGTATCAAGAAGTCTTATCATAGGCAAGGACCAAAGACCTCTGACAGCCTTTGCTGATCTGGGACAGATGCCATCTTGGCTTTTGCTCAGTTCTGGGGCAATAGGTGAGTTCCTCATTTTGGCGTGGCCATTCTATTAGATACATGTTTATGTTGCACCTGCCACAGGTTATAATTGGAATGCCATGGTGAATGTCTCTCTGTAACTTCAATGTCCTCACATTGGGGTTGATATTCAGGTATAGTGTCACCTCCTACAGAGTTTTAAAAAGTGTCATATTTTTTAAAGTGTTAAGCCCAGTACTAGGTACACAGCAAATAGTCAATGTATGCCCCTATGTAGCATTAGTGTTAGTATTACTGTGTTTCCCCAAAAATAAGACATCCTCCGAAAATAAGACCTACTTACAGATTTCCTTCTGAGTGAAATATAAGGCATCCCCCAAAAATAAGGCCCCCTCCTATGCGCTGTCTCAGAATGAAAATTAATTTACCGTAAACTTTGTGAAACCTAAACTGCAAAAACTTGTGACTTGGGTGAAGAATTCATGGGAGAAAATCACTGATAGTTGCATTGCAAATGCACTGCAAGCAGGCTACCTTGACAAAAAGTGGTCATTTAAAAACAGTGCTATTGCTAAACATGAGAGATTTGGTCCACTGATTCTGAAAGAAATGGAGTCACAAGAAATTCACCAGGAAATTCAGGAATTGGATTGTGATGATGATGTTCCAGAAGATGATGACATGATTGTCATTGAACAAATGAGTAAATTCTTGATACTGTAGAATTCACAGTTTGTCTGGTTTGTGTTGACAACTACCGTACTACTGTACTGTATACAGGTAATAAATTTCCTTTATTTTCATTTAATAATAAATGTGTACCGTATTCTTTGTGGAAAAATAAGACATCCCCTGAAAATAAGACTTAGCGCATCTTTGGGAGCAAAAGTTAATATAAGATGGGGAAACAGGGTAGTATTAGTATTAGTATTAGTATTAGTATTAGTATTAGTATGTGTTATCAGAGAAGGATATCTCTGTGCTGCCAGACACTATGTCCAGCTCTTGACTTGCTGAATCTTCCCCATTAGAGCTGTTTTTGACCTTATGCCTATGGGTCCTGTATTTCTTTCTTCATCACAAGAACATGAATTCGGTGCCTTCCTTCCTTCCTTGCTTCTATTTCTTTTACGTAGCATTTCAAATTTGCCTCAAACGCTCTTAGAAAATGTTAAAAGGACCACAAAAACCAGAGCAACATCTCCTGATATGTTTGGAAATATTATACCTCCCAGTTCTGGGAGGATATAATCTGGAAACGATATAGTCCAAGTCTATTCAATAGTGTTGTTTCATAAGGCATCTATTTGCAAGTAATTATACACTACCAGCATTAAAGGAAAACATGTAAAGGGATAACTTTTAAGATACATAAAAGATAGGAAGTCTTTTCATTTGGATTTTTTTTTTTTCCAAATACTTTCACAGTCATTTCAGAAACTTTTCTATTGTACTAGGTTATTTTTGTTGTTCATGTTGTAGTTATGGTCACTATGATTTTTATTTCCTAAGTAATGCTACTATGACAACAAAAAATGGTTGTATAAATTACTTAAACCGGTACAGTGAAATCAGGTTTTAAATGAAGTGTTCTGATTTCTAATACCATTTCTTTTCCTGATATTTTTCAGCAGGTATGAAAGAGTACCAGTTTGTTGCTCAGAGATATTGTGAGAGTTCAGATTAGAAATATGCCTAAAGAGAATAAATCCATGAATTAAAGAACTGTAAAACGGTTTCCCACATAACAGGACAATGTTTTGAATACACCTTTAAATCCCTGGCATTGTCATCACAGACAACCACCTGCCTCCACATCAACATTCCTTCCAGGGGTTGGAGAGACTGTGGCTCTAACATAAGCATCTCTCACCAACTCCAAGTTTTATACAGACATTGCCATTCCTAAGGGGGCTGGGTTCTGCTTGTTAAAACACAGCCAAAGCACTGGTCAGCAAACAGCTAGATAATTTGCTATTGGTGTTCAGACTTTGGTGTTTCGAGTCCCGTTCCTGGGCCTGGCCTGAGCCCGGCCATGAGGAATGCCTCCGTGGTGACCGAGTTCATCCTGCTGGGCATCCCGCACACAGAGGACCTGGAGGCCATGCTCTTTGTCCTGTTCTTGACCTTCTACGTGTTCACTCTCGTGGGAAACCTGCTCATCCTGCTGGCCATCGCCTCCTCCGCTCGGCTGCACACCCCCATGTATTTCTTCCTGTGCGAGCTGTCTGTGTGTGACATCTTTTTCCCTTCTGTGAGTTCCCCCAAGATGCTCTTCTACCTCTCAGGGCACAGCCGGGCCATCTCCTACGCAGGCTGCGTGTCCCAGCTCTTCTTTTACCACTTCCTGGGCTGCACCGAGTGCTTCCTGTACACGGTGATGGCCTACGACCGCTTTGTGGCCATCTGCCACCCTCTGCGCTACCAGGTCATCATGAGCCACAGGGCGTGTGCCCTCCTGGCCTCGGGGACCTCCTTTTTTGGCTGCATCCAGGCCACCTTCCTAACCACGCTCACCTTCCAGTTACCCTACTGCGGCCCCAACGAGGTGGACTACTTCTTCTGTGACATCCCCGTGATGCTGAAGCTGGCCTGTGCGGACACCGCCGCCCTGGAGGTGGTGGGCTTCGTCAGCGTGGGCCTCATGCCCCTCAGCTGCTTCCTCCTCATCCTCACCTCCTACAGCCGCATCGTCTACTCCATCCTGCAGATCCACTCCGCTGAGGGCCAGCGGCGTGCCTTCTCCACCTGCAGTGCCCACCTCACTGCCATCCTGCTTGCCTTCATGCCGGTGGCCCTCATCTACCTTCGGCCAACGTCAGACCCCTGGCTGGATGCAACAGTTCAGGTCCTGAATAACCTGGTCACCCCCATGCTGAACCCCTTGATCTACAGCCTCAGGAACAAGGAGGTAAAATCGTCTCTGAAGAAAGTCCTCCATCAACTGGGCTTCCTTCCTGAGCAGTTGTAGTGGAAGGACAGTAGCCAACAATGGAAGTGCCCTTGCAACCTATAAACTGCTTTTATATGCTTCTCAATAATATCTTTTTAATGGGAGCGTCCAGATATTCTGATTGCCTCCATTTTATAATGTTGGGACTAAGATTTAAAGAGTTCAAGTGGGTAGAATTTGAAGCATATGTAAGAAGTGATGGCAGAATGAAGCCCTAAGGGCTGGTTTTCTGAGTCTTGGGGCTGTGCTTTCTCGAGGGCAACATATTGCTGATGAGGTAGAAAGGAGCCTACCACAGTAGGCAGAGTAGCCTACTCCTTCTGCTTCTCTTTTATCTTCTTCATTCACCTACACCCCTTTGTCCTCTTCTTTGTCCCCCTCACCCTGACACTCTATGTTGGCTGCCTTGATTGTCTCCTCCAATGCCTGAACTGAATAAACCCTCATTTCATCGGTCTGGATATTGTTGAAAGAAGTGGAGTTGTGTAAAGAGAATGACTTCCTGCAGGGACCTAAGGCAGGTTTCTTCTGAGTGAAGCCAAGGTACCAGTGACCTGCTGTCACCTAGAAATTCTATCTGTTGGGTTTTGACCTGGAAGCAGGCCCTGGCTGTATCAAGTTTATTTACATGTAGAAGGTCAGCATGTCAATGAGCATGTGAGAAGGGCAGGTGGGGAAATTTGTGGAGCAGTGACCGTGGTCTGATGCCAGATTAGAAAATCTGGATTTGACTTTGTGTTTTTCAGTACACCCAGGGGACCATTCTGTGTCTTTGGTGTTAGTTTCATTGAAAAGGCGTGACATTGTTCCCCATTCCTTCATATCTGTCTCTCTCTCTCTTTTTCTCTTTCTCTCTTTCTTTTGGCTGAAATACACTAAGAAGAACAATAATGGGCTGTTTCAATGCAGTGCACTGTTGTTTTTATGACTGGAATTCATTGAGAATCCTAGTACACCTGAGGCATGTAGAATACACTATTGCAATTTATTCTAACAGTGAAGTGGAGAGGGAAGAAAACCAAGAGGAGAATGATGGGAAAGGAAGGGACGGGGTGGAGACCAGTTTGTCTGTCCTTCTCAGAATCAGAGAGCAGCCCAGGAACCTGCCAGGCCTACCGGTATTGCTGTGTCTGTGCCTCGAGCCAGTGTGGGGAGCCAGCCATGCTCCTGCAGGGGAGACGGACTCTTTCCTGTCGCCTGGCCTACATGCCTCCAAGCCTTCTCAGCGCTGATTCTCCTTGTTCCTCAGGAAACAAGAGCTTGAAGAAGAAGAAGGTGACAATGCATCTCCAATTATTTCACATGTGGTGGATTCCCGCTGGAGCCTAAATCCGCTTGAAGAACTCTTTCCATTCCTTAATTTCCTGGTGGGAGCTGCTCAGTTGATCCAAATAGAACAGTTTTTAAGAATAAAGAATGCAATCTGCCCTAACCGGTTTGGCTCAGTGGATAGAGTGTCGGCCTGCGGACTCAAGGGTCCTGGGTTCAGTACTGGTCAAGAGCATGTACCTTGGTTGCGGGCATATACCCAGTGGGGGGTGTGCGGAAGGCAGCTGATTGATGTTTCTAACTCTCTATTTCTCTCCCTTCCTCTCTGTAAAAAGTCAATAAAATATTTTTTTTAAAGAATAAAGGATGCAATCTAATTCCTTTTCATGTTCACTCAGACAGATGTCATTTGGTGAATAACTTTGGGCTATAGATGGGGAATGCAAAGATGAAGAAAAGGTGATCCTACCAGAGTGAGTCATAGTCTGCTGGAGAAAAGAAACAAATGTGCAACTGACATCCCATGATAAAGATGTGAACTATAGCAGGAAATATGGAGTATATTTTTCTGGGGCTGTGTGGGTTTTGAGGGTTGAAAGCTTTTGTTTGTTCTGTTTTCCGCCCACACACATACCCCATGAAGAATGGCTTTTGCAGGGAGAAATGTTTTATAGGGAGAGGTAAGATGCTTCTCAATCTTTTGTTTTTTGGGGTGGTGGGGATGAGACATAATTCCTTGAATGGGTATCTCAACTATGTGTTATCTGTGAAAAAAATAAAATTCTTGTAAGAAAAATAAAATTAGCCGAGACTGGTTTGGCTCAATGGATAGAGCGTTGGCTTGGGGACTGAAGGGTCCTGGGTTCAATTCCGGTCAAGGGCATGTACCTTGGTTGCGGGCATATCCCCAGTAGGGTGTGTGCAAGAGGCAGCTGATCGATGACTCTCTCTCATCGATGTTTCTAACTTTTTATCTCTCTCCCTTCCTCTCTGTACAAAATCAATAAAAATATATTTAAAAAAGAAAAAGAAAATTAATTTGGCCTAACCCTGGCAAATTTTGCACAGTGTTTAGATTGTCAGCCTGTGGACTGAAGGTTCCTAGGTTTGATTCTGGACAAGGGCACATGCCTGGGTTATGGGCTCAATTCCAATTGCAGGTGCATAGGAGGCAGTCAATCAATAAGTCTCTCACAACATTTATGTTTCTATATCTCTTTTTTCCCTTCTCCTCTAAAATCAATAAAAATAAATTAAAAAGTGCTTTTAATGTGTTCATAACAGTATTGGGATTTTAATGATTATCATTGTAATCACTATGGTCATATACACGATTTATTTTTAAGCTAGAGGCCCAGTGCAAGAAATTTGTGCAGGGGTTAGGGGTGTCCCTCAGCCCAGCCTGCACCCTCTCCAATCTGGGACCCTCTCAAGGGATGTCCAACTGCCTGTTTAGGCCTGATCCCACTGGCCAGGACTGGGCCTAAACGGGCAGTCAGACATCCCTCTCACAATCCAGGACTGCTGGCTCCCAATCTCTCACCTGCCTGATTGCCCCTAACCACTTCTGCCTGCAAGCCTGATCACCTCCTAAACACACAAAAAAGCACTCCAGGTGATGTAAGAATAACATTGGAGCACCTTTAACCATGCAAACTATCTTGGAGAGATATAGATATAGCCCACTTTATTGCACCCTTTTCGATGATCTCATTACTATTATCTTATAACTAGATGATGAATTAGTTTCACAAACTAATTGCTCCCTCAGAGCCATCGGTGAGTGGAAAGTAAGGCTTAAGGGGGTTTGAAAAAACTTCCAATGAAGCAATCCAAGGAGAGTATGTGCAGATCTTGATGGTGCAAACCCTAGGAGACTCGATTCTTTATAAGTAGGAGACCTGAGGCGCCTTTAGCCGGAGCACTCTGCTCTGCCGAGAAGCAGTAACTGTCAGGCCTCATAACCGCACTTTGGAAAACTGGACTGTGCTCGGAGGTAGACTGTGAGAGTGCCCACACTGCTGCTCTTATATCACTATGAGCTCCAGCTCCACACACAGGATCCTTCCTTGCTGACTTCTTTTCCCTAAAATGGCCTTCCTATAGAATCATCCAGTATCATGATGTCTGATTACAGGCAAGGACCAAAGACCTCTGACCTCTGACAGCCTTTGCTGACCTGGGACAGATGCTCCAGGTTGAAGAGAAATTTGCACAGTTCAGAGATAGTGCTCACGTGTGGCTAGAATTAGTAGCAAGAAGGTCATGCTCAGCAGCATCACTCCTCAATAATGCCTCTGCTCCTCTCGGCCATCTTGGCTTTTGCTCAGTTCTAGGGCAATAGGTGAGTTCCTCATTTTGGCGCGGCCATTCTATTTAGATATGTGTTTACGTGGCACCTGCCACAGGCTATGATTGGAATCCCGACGGAGAATGTGTCTCTCTAACTTCCAAGTTCCCATGTTGGGATTGATATGCAGGTATAGTGTCAAAGGTAAGACCTAAGCTCATTGTGTGATTTTAAAAACTAAATTAGATGTTAACTGGACGTGCTCTAACGTTCATGAATGGAAATGACTGGGAAGAAACGAAAGAGAATCCTTTTCCTATCTTAGTATGAAATGATGATACAAACCCGTCTAAAAGGGTATCCTTGGCTAACAATAAGACAGGCTGTCCTTAAAAAGACAGGCAAACAGAAGGCAGTGTTCCTGGTAGAAAAAAGCATAGACAATAGCATGAAAAAGATTTGTCTTCGCTGTGGCTCAGACTTGCTTTGTAAATGCAGGCAATTTGCTTCCTTTTTATAAATGTTGTTTCCTGATTGGTAGATGGCAATAGTACTAATCGTTTCTTCTTACAGGATTATTTTTAAAGTGTCATCTTTTTTAAAGTGTTAAGCCTAGTCCTTTGTATACAGCAAACAGTCATTGAAAGACATACATATTAATGCATGCACCTATGTAGCATTAGTAATAGTATTGGTATTGGCATTGGTATTGGTATTGGTATTGGTATTGGTATGTGTTATCAGAGGATGAGATCTCTGTGCTGCTAGACCCTCTGCCCTGCTCTTGACTTGCTGAACCTTCCTCATTAGAGCTGCTCTTTGACCTGCTGCCTATGGAACATGAATTTGGTGCCTTCCTTGCTGCCTATATTTCTTTTACGTATCAATTCAAATTTGCCTCCAATGCTCTTAGAAAATGTTAAAAGGACCACAAAAATCAGAGCAACATCTCCTGATACGTTTGGAAATATTACAACTCCCAGTTTTGGGAGGATATAATCTGGAAACGATATAGTCCAAGTCTATTCAATAGTGTTGTTTAATAAGGCATCTATTTGCAAATAATCATACACTACCAGCATTAAAGAAAAGCACGTAAAGAAATAACTTCTAAGATTCATAAGAGAAACAAACTTTTTTCATTTGCATTTTTTTCTTTGCCAAATACTTTCACAGACATCTCAGAAACTTTGCTATTGTACTAGGGTATGTTTGTTGTTTTATGATCATTATGATTTTTATTTCTTAGGTAATGGAACTATGTCTGTAAAGATGTTGTGTGAATTATTTAAAGGAGTACAGCTAATAGGTGACAAAACCAGGATTTAAATGAAGTGTTCTGATTTCTAATGCCATTTCTTTTCCTGACATTTTCCAGAGGGTATTAAAGCGTGTGACTTTGTTGTTTAAAATATTGTGAGAAATACGCCTAAAGAGAGTAAATCCATGAATTAAAGAACTGTAAAACGGTTTCCCACATAACGGGACAATGTTTTGAATACACCTTTAAATCCCTGGCCTTGTCATCACAGACAACCACCTGCCTCCACATAAACATTCCTTCCAGGGGTTGGAGAGACTGTGGCTCTAACATAAGCATCTCTCACCAACTCCAAGTTTTATACAGACATTGCCATTCCTAGGGGGGCTGGGTTCTGCTTGTTAAAAACACAAACAAATAGCTAGATAATTTGCTATTGGTGTTCAGACTTTGGTGTTTCGAGTCCCGTTCCTGGGCCTGGCCTGAGCCCGGCCATGAGGAATGCCTCCGTGGTGACCGAGTTCATCCTGCTGGGCATCCCGCACACAGAGGACCTGGAGGCCGTGCTCTTTGTCCTGTTCTTGACCTTCTATGTGTTCACTCTCGTGGGAAACCTGCTCATCCTGCTGGCCATCGCCTCCTCCGCTCGGCTGCACACCCCCATGTATTTCTTCCTGTGCGAGCTGTCTGTGTGTGACATCTTTTTCCCTTCTGTGAGCTCCCCCAAGATGCTCTTCTACCTCTCAGGGCACAGCCGGGCCATCTCCTACGCAGGCTGCGTGTCCCAGCTCTTCTTTTACCACTTCCTGGGCTGCACCGAGTGCTTTCTGTACACGGTGATGGCCTACGACCGCTTCGTGGCCATCTGCCACCCTCTGCGCTACCAGGTCATCATGAGCCACAGGGCGTGTGCCCTCCTGGCCTCGGGGACCTCCTTTTTTGGCTGCATCCAGGCCACCTTCCTAACCACGCTCACCTTCCAGTTACCCTACTGCGGCCCCAACGAGGTGGACTACTTCTTCTGTGACATCCCCGTGATGCTGAAGCTGGCCTGTGCGGACACCGCCGCCCTGGAGGTGGTGGGCTTCGTCAGCGTGGGCCTCATGCCCCTCAGCTGCTTCCTCCTCATCCTCACCTCCTACAGCCGCATCGTCTACTCCATCCTGCACATCCGCTCCTCCGAGGGCCAACGCCATGCCTTCTCCACCTGCAGCGCCCACCTCACTGCCATCCTACTCTTCTACATGCCGGTGGTCCTCATCTACTTAAGGCCCACGCCAAGCCCCTGGCTGGATGCAATGGTTCAGGTCCTGAATAACCTGGTAACCCCCATGCTGAACCCTTTGATCTACAGCCTCAGGAACAAGGAGGTAAAATCGTCTCTGAAGAAAGTCCTCCATCAACTGGGCTTCCTCCCTGAGCAGTTGTAGTGGAAGGACAGTAGCCAACAATGGAAGTGCCCTTGTAACCTATAAACTGCTTTTATATGCTTCTCACCAATATTTTTTTAAATGGGAAAATGCATCTATTATGATTGCCTCCATTTTCCAATGTGGGGGTCTAGGATTCAAAGAGTTCAAGTGGGTTGTCAAAGCATATGTAAGGGGTGATGGCAGAATGAAGTCCTAAGGGCTGGTTTTCTGAGTCTGGGGCCTGTGTTTCTCAAAGACTCATATTGCTGATGAGGTAGAAAGGAGCCTGCCACTGTAGCCAGAGTAACCTTCTCCTTCTGCTTCTCTTTTATCTTCTTCATTCACCTACACCCCTTTGTCCTCTTCTTTGTCCCCCTCACCCTGACACTCTATGTTGGCTGCCTTGATTGTCTCCTCCAATGCCTGAACTGAATAAACCCTCATTTCATCGGTCTGGATATTGTTGAAAGAAGTGGAGTTGTGTAAAGAGAATGACTTCCTGCAGGGACCTAAGGCAGGTTTCTTCTGAGTGAAGCCAACGTACCGGTGACCTGCTGTCACCTAGAAATTCTATCTGTTGGGTTTTGACCTGGAAGCAGGCCCTGGCTGTATCAAGTTTATTTACATGTAGAAGGTCAGCATGTCAATGAGCATGTGGGAAGGGCAGGTGGGGAAATTTGTGGAGCAGTGACCGTGGTCTGATGCCACATTAGAAAATGTGGGCTTGGCTTTGCATTTGTCAATACAACCAGGGGGCCATTTCTGGGTTCAAAATGTCTTTGGATTATGTTTCATAGAAAAGGTGTGACCTTGTTTCCCATTCCTCTCTCTCTCTCTCTCTCTCTCTCTCTCTTTCTTCTCTCTCTCTTTTGGTTAATATACACTAAGAAGAACAATAATGGGCTTTTTCAATGCAGTGCGCTATTGTGTGTGTGTGTGTGTGTGTATGTGTGTGTGTGTTTTATTGGAATTCATTGAGAATCCTGGGATACTTGAAGTATGTAGAATACACTATTGCAACTTATTCTAACAATGAAATGGAGAGGGAAGGAAACCGAGAGGAGAATGATGGGAAAGGAAGGGACGGGGTGGAGACCAGTTTGTCTGTCCTTCTCAGAATCAGAGAGCAGCCCAGGAACCTGCCAAGCCTACCAGTACTGCTGTGTCTGTGCCTCCAGCCAGTGTGGGGAGCCAGCCATGCTCCTGCAGGGGAGACGGACTCTTTCCTGCCACCTGGCCTACATGCCTCCAAGCCTTCTCAGCGCTGATTCTCCTTGTTCCTCAGAAAACGAGAACTTGAAGAAGAAGGTGACAATGCATCTCCAATTATTTCACATGTGGTGGATTCCCGCTGGAGCCTAAGTCCACTTAAAGAACTCTTCTCATTCTTTAATTTCCTGGTGGAAGCTGCTCAGATGGTCCAAATAGGCAGCTGACATCCCATGATAAAGATGTGAACTATGGCAGGAAATATGGAGTATATTTTTCTGGGACTGTGGAGGCCTTGAGAGTTGAAGGCTTTTGTTTGTTCTGTTTTCCGCCCACACACATACCCCATGAAGAATGGCTTTTGCAGGGAGAAATGTTTTATAGGGAGAAGCAAGATGCTTCTCAATACTTTGTTTTTTGGGGTGGTGGGGAGGAGACATAATTCCTTGAGTGGGTATCTCAACTATGTGCCATCTGTAAGTGAACATTCTTGTAAAAATAAATAAAATTAATTTGACCTGGCTCTAGCCAGTTTGGCTCAGTGGACAGAGTGTCAGCCTGTGGAGTGAAGGGTCCCGTTTTCAATTCTGGTCAAGGGCACATGGCTGGGGTTATGGGCTGGACCCCAGTGGGGGGCATATAAGAGGCAACCAATCATCTCAGCATTGATGTTTGTATCTCTCTCTCCTTCTTCCTTCCTTTCTGAAATCAATAAAAATATTTTTTTAATTAATGTGACCTGTTTTCAGAGTTCTTCCTTCCGTGTGGCAGTTTGTCCCTTCATTGGAGATTCGCCTTGCACAAAATGACTCTGTCTCCTTAAACAAATTGACTTCTCTGCTCGCTTCGGGGTTTCTGAGCGATGTGGGGAGCATTGCTGCCTTCAGGGAGTGTCTGTGCTCCCTTTTGCCTATGAAGGGGCCCGGGATGACAGAGGTAACCTTGGGTTTGGAAGTCCCAGTGGGGTCTAATGGTGGAATGAAACTTTTCTGTGTTCTGGACATAAAGGGACAATATTTAATTTTAAAAAATATTTTTTGAGGGGGTGGGGGAGAGAAATCAATGGGCATAATCATTGGGACGGGGGAGAAATCAATGAGTCGATCATCTAGCAGCATGTTTAATCCTCAGGCCCAGAACATAGATGGGGGCTTAAGGCCCAAGCCTGGGGGCTGAAGAGGGGAGGTGACAGAGAAGTACAAACATATTGAAGCCGAGATTCAGAGTATGTTCAGAGCGGAGTGGGCTAGAGCGGCAGCATTACTGGAGACACTGGATTCAAATATGGTCTCAGAGTGCATCTGCATAGGATACCTGACCCCGGGTGCAGTCTAGTTTCCTTAACAGGCTTCTCTGGCCGAAACCGGTTTGGCTCAGTGGATAGGCCTGCAGACTAAGAGGTCCCAGGTTCAGTTCCAATCTAGGGCATGTACCTTGGTTGCGGGCACATCCCCAGTAGGGGGTGTGCAAGAGGCAACTGATGGGTGATTCTCTCTCATTGATGTTTCCAACTCTCTGTCCCTCTCTCTTCCTCTCTGTAAAAAAAAAAAAAAAAAAAAAAAAAAGCAATAAAATATATATTTTTAAATTTTCTCAAAAAGGCTTCTCTGTGCACTCCAACGCATTCTGCAACCTCCCATTGTATTCTCTGTTCCCTGTGTGTTTGCTCCTCCCTATATTTGTTACACAACCAATGCCTGTTCTGAGTTTCACCTCTGCATTTTGTCCCACCTACAGCCCCAGAGAGAGAGACTATGGCGTGGGCCATCTCCAGGGGAAGCCTGCAGGCTGGGCGCAGAAAGGATAGGTGGGATAAAGGCTCCCCACGCGGCACTGAGGGAGCGTGAACGGAAGTCTTCCAAGGAGTGCTCGCCGTCTCCGTTTATTCCTGGTTCTCCCTGGCACACTGCTCATTTGTTCTAAATCAAATTAATTGAAATGGATGAACACACTGGTCAGAATGAATGTCTTGTAGTTGCTTGGTTTGCAATTTTTTTGCTCAAGAATATGGACTTCGCCTTCTCCCCCACAAAAGAAAAACAATTATTCAAAGCTAAGAGGATGACTCAGCAACCCCTCTTCTGAGTATCTATCTAAAAAATGTGAGAACATTTATTCCCAAAGTTATATGCACCCCTATGGTCACTGCAGCGGAGTAGCCATTAACCGGTTAGAAATGCCGATTTGTAATAAAAGAAAACAGGATAATTTCAAGAGAAACGTCAAAAGTGCTTTATTCAAAGTAATTTCCATTAATAGCCACACATTTCCCCCATCTTTCAGGTAACTTGTGGATACCGTCCCAATAGAACTTTTCTTGTTTTGAGGCAGACCATTCAGAGACCCAATTTTCCACTTCTTCGTATATATGTTTTGAAGTGCTGCTCAGAAAGTGCGTGTGCCATCAATTGGAATAAGTGGTCATCTGAAGGGACAAGGTCTGGTGAATACGGCAGGTAAATACTTCCCAGGCAAGATCTTTTAACGTGTCTTTAACTGGTTTTGAAGTGTGTGATGGTGCGTCAGGAAGCAAATTACTTTGCCATGTCTTCTGGCCCATTCTGGCCATTTTACAATCAAAGTGTGATTCAAATTGATTATTTGTTGTTGGTAGCGATCAATATTAATGGTTTCACCTGGTTTTAGAAGCTCATAATACACCACACCTTCCTGATCCCACCAAACACAGAGCAGTGTCTTCTTTTCAAAGCGATTTGGCCTTGCAGTGGATGTTGATGGTTGAACTGGATCAACCCAACATTTTACTGATGACTTTTTGGTTTTCCATTTGTCTTTCATTCAGTTAATGTGGCACCCATTTTCCTTCCTTTAAAATCTTTCCCATTGTCTTCCTCTCTGTTATCAGCCCAACGGCACCTTCAAAATGTATATGTGTAGCCCTCACCCCCTAGGCCTCAGAATGTGACTGTGTTTGGAAATTGGGTCTTGTGGAGATGACTAAATTACCAGAGGCTCTTAGGGTGAGCCCTCATCCAATGTGATCGGAGTCCTTAAGCAGAGGGAATCTGGGCACACAAAGTGATACCAAAGATATGCCTGCAGGGGAACAGCCTTAGGAGGAGGCAGCAAGAGGTGGCCGAGTACAAGCCCAGAGGCTGAAACAGTTCCTTCCCTTGTCCCTTTAGCGAAAACCAATTTTTCTGGCACCTTGATCTCAGCCTTCTAGCCTCCAGAACTGTGAGAAAATAAATGCCTGTTGTTTAAAACACCCGTTAGTAGTGTTTTGATTGTTCTATGTGTGCTGGCTAACACACTGCCACGCCTAGGTCTGCTCTGACTCCTCTCACATGCAATGCATGGTCTGTGCTACTGGTAACAGCATGCACTTTTTTTTAAATATATTTTATTGATTTTTTACAGAGAGGAAGGATAGAGAGCTAGAAACATTGATGAGAGAGAAACATCGATCAGCTGCCTCCTGCACACCTCTTACTGGGAATGTGTCCACAACCAAGGTATATGCCCTTGACTGGAATCAAACCTGGGACCTTTCAGTCCTCAGGCTAATGCTCTATCCAGTGAGCCAAACCGGTTAGGACAGCATGCACTTTCTATGTGCTTTCCTATGAACACCTTGCTTCTCAAAGTAGACATTGGAAAGCTCCAGATAAGAAACAAATTTACATAACTTTAAAAAATTGTTTTGAGAGAGAGTGAGAGAGAAACATCGATTAGTTGCCTGACACATCCACCCTCAGTGGGGATCAAACCCACAACCCAGGTATATGCCCTGACCATGTGTATAGGATGATGCTTCAACTCACTGAGTCACACCCACCAGGGCTGCGTAACTTTTCTTACCACTTACATCAACCTAGAAGATTTCTCTAAGGAGATCACTGAGAAGAAAACTTTTTCGTTAATTAATCTCAAAGGCACTCACTTCTAAGAGATGCTTCTCATGCTCGTTATCACTCTGGCTTCTGTTGCCCCATAACACTCGGTGGCCACTTGTGAGCTGTGTAATGGGGCAAAGTGGATTAATAAGGCTGGGAATTGGCTTAGGAAGTGCAAGGAGGCTTGTTAAAGTGCTTATGGTTTGGGGTTCTCTCCGCAATCATTATTCCAAGGGAAAAAAACAACACATACTGATGACATTCAGCCTCCTGTACAAACACACACACACACCCACACACACACACACACACACACACACACTTATGAACAATTGCATTCACATCAGTTTTATTTTTCCTAAATCACGGCAGAGAGATCCTATGACCTTAGCTTTCTTGTGATAAAAATCCCACTTGTCAGTGACGGTGAAATGAAATACTCCTTGCAGTGGAAACACGGAGTTGTGAATGTCAGGGCTTCAGTGGCTCCATCTTCTGGGTGTGGGATCTTCTCGTTCTCAGAGGAGCATCTGTGGAATCTGTCTCCCATTCTTCGGTGCGCAGAGCTGGCTTTGTCCAGCGGAATGAAAATAAGGCAGGCAGATTGAGCAGCAGGGGCAGGGTAAGCAATTGGAGATTCAGTCTATTTCGAGAGGAAATGCAGGAAGCTCAGTTTACCAACGATGGACAGTTCTCAGGGCTTCCGTGAATCCAATTCTTGCTGGTTCTTTCCAGCACTCTGTGGAGATTTCTGTCTCATGTCACACACACCCAATTTTTAAATCCAAAATTTAGAAGTACTTGTCCATTCTTTGTTATTTG